TTTATAATCGAAAGTGATGTCAGTCATATGCATATGAATGACATCACTTTCGATACTGAATTTAATGTTCATCCGATTTCCTCTCCATAATTAACTGAAAATTTGTAATTACGCAAAATGCAAATGTAATTTCGCAAAAAAAATTAACACCAAACTTATAAATATTGTGTTGGTGCAGAAAATCATATCGTTTTTTATTTTATCGAATTCCACTGCTTTATTTAGAAATATATATTTCAAATGTATGATATCATATTATTGTATTGCCTATTTGTTGCTTGATACTTTTTTACCAATGACTTATTATCTGTTATTTATTTTATAGTTATTTCAAATTAAAAAAGTGACATAATATTAGACAAAAAATAAGTTCGAATAATTTTTTACACTTGCCAGCACAACTATGGTTCAAAAAGTTCTGCGAAAAAGATAAGAAATGATCGGTCGTAGAAAGTTAATAGTGATAAGTGAGAACAGTTGTGGAGCCAATCTGTTTTCAACTGCTCGAAAAATTGATGAAGTATAAACAAAATCCAGTAACTTGTGGTCATTTTTAGTCCAAATTAGAAAAACGACAAATGGTACCTTATAAGCTAAACGATAACATAATTTCCTTATTTCATGCTACAACAACATTGGATTTAGCGAGTAATTGTGGGCGATCACCGATAACGATCAATTCATTGACTGAACAGAGAAAACAATTGCGTGAAAAAAAGGTCATGGTAACTTTTTAGTGGCCTATCGCAACGAAAAATTTTCTCAATCTCGGCGAAATTGCTCCAACTGAAAAGTGTGCGTAGCATATTGATCAGATATATCGATTACTGCGAAACCCATAGGTGACAGAAGTCATTATAAAGGATCATTCTTCTCTATGACAATGATGACCATATCACGGAAATCAATATTTCTTCAGCTAAGAATTGTATTCCATTTGCCATATTCACCTGGCCTTTCACTAATCTGTTCCCTCTGCCAAACTTCTTCAGTCATCTCGATGATCTACTGCAGAAGGATACAGAAAATACTTCTGAAAGTCCGTCGAATCCTCGGGTTTCTAACCCATAGGAATAAACAACTTATTTTCCGTTCGTAATTAAAGCATTTACTTATAATGATTTGAAATTTACTGTCAAATATTTATATTCAATGGCCAAAGAAATGCTAACTGCGCTCAAATATAGAGCCAAACAAGCAGTGGGAATGATTTCATTGTCTTTCTATCATAAAATTCACCAAAATGATGAACAAAAATGCAGTGATAGCTGATCGTTATCAGAGATGAAATGCATAACAGAGAGAGTTGGTCAGAAATAGTGTAAGTGACCGCCGACAGTTCTTGTCATTGAATCAGAGAATCCATTTCTTTAATTAATAATCATATCCACAATGGTAAAAAATCTGTTGAAAGATCGGGTCATCTGTTATTCTCTCTTGTAATACGAAATACAAAATGGAATATAAAATTCACCTGTTCGATTCATTTATTTTACGGATGAAAAAAAAATCAATTTTTTTCTCCAGCTTTTCTCTCGGAATTCCCGGTCATTTCAATGTTAGCATTTAGTTTGAACTATTTCAGGGTTACAACAGTAGAGGATTGGTTCCCAAACGGAATGTCAGGGTACGGTTGTTCCGGGGTTCTTCCGGGAAGTCTCGTCTGGGAGGAGCATATCTGTTATGGGAATCACGTTTTGCTAGGTTTTATTTAATGCATAAAATTTTATTCCTGTTGTAGAAAATGAATGACGATAGTGCAGCTATTACGACACTGAAAATTTTAATTATTGGTGAAAGTGGTGTTGGCAAGTCAAGGTTAGTATTGCTCACTTTTAACGTGTGCATATGCGTAAGTTTGTGAAATAAGAAGCATAGATATGCGTGAGTTTTTACATGGCAATGAATTTTGATAATCAAATATGCATCTCCGTGATGAACAAAATCATAGAACTGTCATTAAAGAATATGTTACAAATGATGAAAATATGTTATTACTTCAGAAGAAATGGTTTCACTGAAGCAGTTGATTATTTCATGTTTAGATGAAATAAACTGCAGATTTGTTTTAGTAAACTAATTCACAGTTCAAAGAGAAAATTTTTGTGGCAACTGAAATTTCTTTCAGCCTGATGTTGAGGTTTGTAGATGATACATTCGATCCGGAAATCGCGGCTACAATTGGTTGGTTTTCGTCATTTGTTACTACGAAGGCTTGGAATAGACATTTTTAGAATTGTAAAGCATTACTCATAAATATATGATTATGTTCGTGTTAAGGAGTTGATTTTCGAGTTACATCAATGATGGTCGACCAGAATCGTGTGAAATTAGCCATTTGGGCAAGTTTTTTTTTTATTTTATTTACTATGGTAGCTATTTATCATACTTTCACTGTTACATGCGGGACTTAGCCATGTATTTGTTTTACGAATGAATTCACATTTGTGTCAGCAAATTATTCCTAGTTCGGATTATACTGCTCGTAATCATCAAGGCTTAGCATGATGAACACATGACAGAGACATGTGGATTTTCAGGAATTTTTATATATTATATATGTTTCATTATATAATTGACCTTTTCACCAATATATCAAGGTCTAGTTTGTGGAGTTGTATTTTCAGTTCAGAGATATATTTTTCAAGAATTTTTTCAAGCTACTTGTCTAGTACTTTTGGATTGTTTCAGGATACAGCTGGACAGGAACGGTTTCGTACTTTAACACCAAGTTATTACAGGGGAGCGCAAGGAGTAATATGTGGTAAGTATTTGATGATTTTTGCCTTGATATTTTGTAGCAATAAATAGTCGGACTAAATGCTTAGTTGAGAGAGTGGTGTCGTAAATATGAGCGTCGATATCATTGATCATTTTTCATTGTCATTAATGCCCTTGAGTTATTGAAACCATTTTTTTGTAATACCATTTTCGTATGTTTCTTTGATTTTTTTGGTGATTTTTATTATGAATTTAATGATATTGTAATGAACAGCAAAATTAAAAATTTTTTCAGTGTATGATGTATCAAATCGTCAAACATTTGAACGACTTGGTCACTGGATGAATGAAGTAGATACTTATTCAACCAAAACGGATGCTGTGAAAATGCTTGTTGGAAATAAAATTGATATAGTAAGTTTTTTGCTAATAAACTGCAGATGATATATATGCGAACAGAAAATCCGCAAGTTTACCGAGTATGTGACGATTTTTTAGTCTAGTAGAGAGGTTACTCGAGAAGAAGGATTAGAATTCGCAAAAAAGTATCGCATGCTGTTTATTGAAGCAAGTGCTAAAACTCGTGAAGGTGTACAATGCGCATTTGAAGAACTTATTGAAAAGGTTTGCATTAACTTATTTCCATTTTTCTTCCTTTTAAAATTAAACCGACATTATAAGCCTTGGTTTAATTCACTTGCCATCGATGGTGGCCTTATACAGGTTATTTGGATTTATTAATAATAACTGCGAATGTCAAATCATTCATTTTACCTGCTATATTATACTATAGCAATGCCAATGATGTGAATTAGCCAATGTTGATCTTTACTTGTGATGGCTTAACTCTATCAGTTAAGGAGAAGCGAGCTGAGGCATGTAATATATATGAAGACACTAAGAAATCATGTTTTTCATACTTATAATTTAAGATCCATGGTAATATTTCTTTTTTTGCAGATTTTGCAAACGCCCGGACTGTGGGATAGCGATCGATCAGCTTTTGCTCTTGGTGCTGGTGCAGATCAGACTGTTGGTAATTGTACATGTTAATGTACAATTCAGATTATTTCGATTGTGTGCCTGATTAAAGCACTTACAGTTCAGTTACACATCCAATTTGCTCATGATTCAGACAAGATGTTTTCTTAAAGCAAGATAATCTGAAAATAGAACAGCCATGATTTCACACTTGTTTCATGTCTTCAATTAATCATGATTAATTTTGAAGCGTTTTTCTGTCAGGCTGTCAACATTTATGACAATTAAAAAGAAGGGTTATCTCTGTCATCCGGTATTAGTTTTGCTATCATTCGGGAAGGTGCATAATCATAAATAATCTTCATTCCATCTTTTTTCCTCATTACATGAAACCAGTAATGTTTTGCTTATACGAAGTGATATTATTTTTGTGACTCTTTCTTTACCTGTACGTCATAACTTCTTTTTGAGTTTCCCTGAAAATGTGAGCATATATATGTATATATATTTGAAATTTGGCTACATTATCGATGAATTTGAAACATTTTGCTATATTTTTTATTGTGCTACAATAGTTGAAATGATTCATAATGTGATTGTAGCATAGAAATGGTAGGAGCATGTCTTGTTTTTCGGAATCCAGTCAACTACTATTCAAATAGCAGTAGATAGATGTGATTTACTGGATTAATTTTGTATTGCTCTTCATTTTAATAATTAGAAGAACAATTCCTATAGTATGAGTTATGCAACCGAAAAATAATCCGAATTAACAGAGATTTCACCAACAACAAATCTGTATAAAATACCACTAAGTGTTTGAATTATAAATTTAAATTCGTAACTTAGATGAAAAGCGCTGAATAAATCTCGCTTTTGTTTTTTGTAGCTGGTGTGATTAAGTGCTGGAATAATCCCATTCTTTTGCACTAATAAATATATATACAGTTAATCGTAATTTAATTAGGTGCCATAAATGGCTAAATTATTCTTGAAGAAAGAATGTAATTTTAAATTGTTTTGAGTAAATAATCAACATTGATGTGTTTTTAAGTTATGTTATTAATTTACTGCTAAGGAACTCCATGATATTCCTGAGAAAATATGGTCTTGCTAACGCTATAATTATGAGTGATACTGATAACAAGGAATGCCTTCTACACAATTTAGCATAACAAACCATTTATGGTAGGATAGTCTCCACACAGTCAAAAAAATTTACTATTCACCACTTCGAAATCAATGTAGTTCATTTTAACGGCTAGTAAAAAGAGATTAACCAATAGCAATTAGAGCTAAGGTAAATGCGACATCACATAGATTCTATCGCATTTATTACTGATGAACGAGAGAGGGCGGTATATTCAGCAGCTGGTTGATCTTTTAACTATAGTTGTCGAAAAGTTTTCTGATAACTTTGTTATTGAAACGAGAGTTGTAGGAGTTTATTTTTTGCAGAAAATGAATATATTATACGACAATCATAGGCTCAATAGATGATTTTCTCCTTTTTATTGACGATTAAACTAACTTTATTCATCTGAACTAGAATTGAGAAGAGGAAAAATGAGCTGGAAGGTAAAACTGGTTGTTGTTGTTAAGGTGAGACTGGTTCTTGAGATATCGAGTCCAAGAATTGACCTCTAGATTTCTCTTGATGTTGTTCTTTTCCAATTGGGTGGAGATTGAATACTATTTAGGATAGAGTAAATAATAAATCATCTGGTGAAAAAAGATAGCGGTAAACAAAAGATTGTAATATCTGACAATAATCATTGGAGGCGTTAAAGAAACAAGTAGGCCACATCCTTGTCGCGAATTTCGATTCGCGAAGCTTCAACCATACAAACAAATAATCAAATAAATTTCTTATGGTAAACAGAAGGTCGCTGGTTCGATTCCAGCATGAGACACCAGAAGAGTCATCAATCAGAAAATCAAACTCCTCGACCTGTACATCGGCGTAATTGAATCGAACAATGAAAAATGGCTGGAATTCATCCAGAAAGTTTCAACGTCGATGAAGAAAAAAGAAGAGGAAGAAAAATATGCAACG